GGGGGGGCCCCCCCCCCCCCCCCCCCCCCAAATCAGCCCATGTACGCTGCCCGACCTGCACAGTCAGGAGGGGCAGCCCCAGGCGATGGGAACAGGGGCTGCCCCACAGCACCCCAAAACTCAGCCCACATTGCTCCCAGCCAGCACCCCAGCAGGGTCACCACGTCCCAGGCCTGTGACTGCCCCGTGGCCCTGGATGCCCAGCCGGGGGCCGTGGGGCAGACGGAGGGCCCCATGGCACAGCTGCCTGCCTTGCCTGTACCCTTGGCCAGGCCACAGCCAGGGACTGCCTGGACATCCCTGCCATGGGGTGGCTGGGGACACCCCTCCTGCACCCCTGTCCCTTCCTCCCGCATGTGCCAGGGGCTGCTGCCCGAGGTGAGAGCCCTCAGCCAGCTAACGGTGGGGCTGGGAGCCGGGAGCCCCGTGCCGGGGGTGGTCTCCATCCTGAGCCACGGCCGTGAGCAGGGGAATGGCATGGGGACCTGCCAGGGAAGGCAGCGAGGCCTGTCCCCACCAGCCAGGATGTCCCCGGAGATGTCCCTGATCCTGGGGTGAGCAGCAGACATCTCCCATGACAGAGCACTGCCATCTCCTGGGGACCGCAGGGACGGGTGCTCGCCCGGGGCTGGGGACCAGGACCAGGCACGGGGCCGCCTGCCCTCCCGCACCCCTCTCCCCACGGTGACGTGGCAGGGCGATGAGCAAGAGGCCCTCAGCGCTGGGCCCCGGGATGGCGGTGGCTGCAGGGTGACAGACGGGAGGGTGGCCGTGACTGCTGGGTGGCCGCACACGCAGCCCCCTGTGCCCCATTCAGCATCTTTCCGCCCCCGCAGCTTACAGGGTGGCCTTAGACTTTCTAGCTGGAGGAAAAACATCTAAAAACCCATCACCAAGCACCCAGGGGCTGTGCTGGGGAGGAGGGCAGGGTGCCCGGTCCCACTGGGCACTGTGGTGTCTCCCTTCCCAGCCCCACCACCCTGCTCACCACCTGGGGAAACTGAGGCACGCTCACAACACACCCAAAGAGGGCTGGAGGCACAAGGGAGACAGCTCACCCCACTCCCCACTGCACGGCTCTAGGCTGTGGCATCCCAAACCGCCCGTCCCTCCTGTCCCCTTGTCCCCACCAGCAAGAGGCGGTCACCTGCCGGCCCCAGCCCTGGCTCAGCTGTGCTGGCAGGGCCCCAGCCCAGGTGGATGGCCCCATCTTTCCTGCCCGGCCCCATCTTTCCTGCCCGGCTGCCTCCCCGCAGCACCCCAGGCTCTGCCGGTGGCTCCTTTGCCCCCCAGGCATGGGGCTGAGGTCGGAGCCTGGCGGGTTTGGGTTTTCTTCTTGAGGATTTTTGTTTTTTCCCGTTCGCTTCCTTCCTCCGCTCCAGCCCCGTGGCCTCGGCTGCCCCCGGCACTGCCGCTCCCCCAGCCCCCTGGCTCTGTGCCCAGCTCCCAGCAGCCCAAAAGTGAGGGGTTGGGGGCCCTGTGGGGGTCGTGGCTCTGCCCTCAGTGTGGCTGGGTAAACCTCAGCCCCGAGCCCTGCCACAGCTCTGCCCACGCCTGGGCAGCTCTATGAGTGCTGGGGAGCCCCCAAATCCCTGTCCCCCACACCAGCACCCCCAACTGCCTGTCTGCTGGGGCCCTGCGACTCACTGCCCATGAAGACCCCCACGCACGAGGACCCCCAGGCCGGTGGCCAGGCTCAGCTTGGTGGCCCCAGCGCGTCCCTGGGCCCCCAGGGACAGGGCTGTGTCCTGGGCTGAGAGGTGGCACTGATGGCAGCAGGTGCCCAGGCGCAGCGGGGCAGGGAGCACCCTGCTCTGGGGTGCTGTGCCACCCCAAAACACCACACTGCAGCCACCACGTACCCCAAAAAACCCTGACAGCCAAAAAAAGCAAGGAAATACTAAGGCATGAAAGTGGTGGAAATCCCCATCCTGGCACGGCTGGGCCCACGGCGGGGTCTGATTCCAGCTGCCCCCCACCCCAGCAGCCTGCGGGAGAGCCAGGGGCAAGGGATGCACATGCAGGATACGGCTCAGATGGGGACACACACCCACGGCACAAGGCGGTTCAGTAAGTGGGACAAGACTGGGGTGAGCGGGACCGGCTGCGGGATGCGGCCGCAGGCTCCCTGCAGGCCGTGGATTGGGAAGCCGGGGCGAGCGGCTGGGATGCTCCCTCCCTTCCTCGGAGCGCAGCATCCCGCTGCCCCAGTGGGATAAACACCCGCTTCCTGCCCTTAATCAGCTCCAGAGGGGCTGGGGAGGGAAAGGGGGGAGGAAAAAAAATTCTCTGGAAAGAAAAACTCATTTCCTGCGACAGAAGAAAAAGATAAAGTCTGGGCTCATTAAAGTGAACTTTACTGGGGAGAGACGGGAAAGAGCCAAACACAATGTCCTTGAAATTTCCTCCGCACGGCTCCGTCCACGAAAATCAGGCTGTCGAGGTGGGAGCAAACCTGCTGGAAAACCTCCTCCACGGAGCCCTCGGCGTTGAGCTGGGTGCAGAGAGGTTAGCTGCGGGGTCACCTGAGGGGATGGCGTGGCCGGAGCTCTTCCAGGGATAGATTTTGGCCGTGGGTTGAGAAATCAGGGCCAATTTTAGGCAAAGGGATGCAGGGCCATCCTTGGAGGGGGTCTCCATGTCAGGAACTGGAGGGTCCGGCTGGCTCCGAGGGGTCAAGCCCACCCCAAACGAGCTAGTTCTGAGTTTTACCCCCTTCCCTCGTCATCCCCATCCACCACTTCCCCTCCCCTGGGACCACAGGTGCCCCGAGCCATGGGGCTGGAGGGCATCGGCATCGACCGCGTCCCCGCTTACCTGGCGGACGATGCCTCTGCTCTTGTAGAAGGCGATGACGGGCTCCGTGGCCTTGTAGTAGGTCTCCAAACGCTTCTTTATGGTCTCCTCGTTGTCGTCCACCCGCCCGCTGGTCTCGCCTCGCTTCAGCAGGCGTTTCACCATCGTCTCCTTCCCCGCGTCCACGTAGAGCAGCAGTGTGGGGGGGCCGATCTGTAGGCAGGGGGGACATGGCTGTCACCACGCTGAGCCAGCATGGGTCTGGTTTGGGGAGATGGTGGCAGTGAGCACGGGGGTCACAGATGTCCCCATGCCATCCTCTGCCTCCCTCCGCATGGGGCCGTGGCCCCCAGACCCACACAGAGGAAGGCGCAGGGACTCCTTGGCCAAGCCCCGGCTCTCTGCCATCACGCCGGCACTGTGGTCATCCTCTGTCAGCCTGAGGACACCCTGGAGAGATGTCCCCCCTCCCCACGCCCTCGGTGCAGGCTGTCCCAAGGCAGGGGGACCTGCTGGCTGGGATGGTGCCCAGTTTAGACCCTATTGGGATGGGATCTTTGCTGGGATGGGGAGGCTGGGCTGCTGCTGGCACCATGGAGACCCCCTTCACGGATGGTGGGTGGCTTGGCATGGCATGGCACCAGCCCTCACCTTCTTCTCAAACTCCTCTCCCTGCTTCACCTCGCGGGGGTAGCCGTCGATGAGGAAGCCCTTGGACACGTCCGCTTTGGCCACCATGGCGTCCCGCAGCATATCCAGCACCGTGTCCTGGGGAGGGGGGGACAGAGCTGCCAGGGCTGACGTGGGACAACATGGCCCCCTCCCAGCACCCCCAATCCCTGCTGCAACCCCCCCTGAGGTGGCAGGGATGGAGGTGTCCCCAGGCCACGTGCTGACCGTCACCATGGTATCTGGTGTCCCCACAGCCACCCCTGCCTCCATGCCCCACTGTGCCACAGCCGGTGGCCTGCACGGACTCACCAGGGGCACCAGCTCGCCCTTCTCCATGATGGCCTGCAGCTTCTTGCCCCGCTCTGAGCCCGAGCTGACCTCCGCCCGCAGCAGGTCCCCCGTGGAGAGGTGGGTGTAGCCATACTTCTGCACGATCTTCTCACACTGGGTCCCTTTCCCCGAGCCGGGGCCACCTGCAAGTCACACGAGGCCCACACGTGCCCCAAGCCACGGGTAAGGAGCTGGAGGAGTACATGGAAGCAGCAGCACAGACCCACAGGAGACCCCAGAGCCCGGTGAGATGGGGGACGGCGTCCCCAAGCCCAGCACCAGAAGGATGGGAAGAGCTGCTCCTGGGGTGGGCTGGGAGATGCCAGGTCCTTGGGGGTGGCGTGGGCTGCTGGCAATTGGCACACGGGTACCACCACTCTGATGGCACCCAGGACACCACCACCACCCCATCAGCACCTGAATATCACTGTCTCAGTGGCACCCAGGGTGTGATGACCCCTTCAGCACCCAGGATGTCACCTCCCCATCGGCACCGAGGACATCACTGCCCGATGGCACCCAGGACATCACCCCCCAGGTGTTTACTGTCACATCACCCCAGATGCTGCCACCCCATGCCCGGTCAGAGGTGCCCTCCCGGTCCCAGCACATCCCACCATGGCCTCGAGAAGCTGGGCTGGAGCCACGGCCAGCCCACAGCGCCCGGGGACAGCCGAGGTCCCACAGCCTCCAGCCCTGGGCGCTGGCTTCTCCCTGCAGCCCCCCAACCCTGGAGGCGCAGGGGGATGGGGCTGCGCTGTGGCCTTGACCCCACCAGCGGGAGGACCCAGACACCGACTTACCCACCACAAAGATGATTTTGTGATGCTTGAGTTTTTCTGGAGGAGAGAAAGGAAAAAGATAATAATCAAAAGCCAGAAAGCATGTTGGGGACCGAGGTCTCCCCAGGGGGGCAGGATCCAGGGCAGGTGTCCCCGGGGAGGGAGGGGACCCACGCCAGGTCCCCAGGGGATAAAGGCGAAGTGGGAAGCAGCCACGTGTGCCCCTCGTCCTCGTCACCTGGGCACGTTGGGACGGCTGGGCTGGACACGGCTGAGCGCAAAGACCCCAGGGCGCCTTGGCCGCAGGGCTGGAATCCCACTGCCGCGTGGCGTCCTGGAGACGGTCACTGTCCACGGCTCCACCGCGGGCAGGCACCGGCCACATCCATCCCCACGACCGGCTCGTCGCGCTGGGGGGCTAATGGGGGCTGCGGCAGGCTTGGCTTGGCACGACCCCCGACAGCCCCTGAACCCCAGCGTCGGTCCCTGGGCCTGGTGGCAGACGTGCAGGTGGCACTAACCGCCCTGTCCCCTGCCGAGCACCCAGGCGCAGGGTCCCGTGCCACCTGCAGGATCCGGCCCAGCCACGGTGCAGGACGATGCCGGGGTGCGATGTCGCGGGGGGAGGCAGAACTAAAAATAAAGCCGAGCTGCTCTGGGGCTGCTCTCCCATCTCCTGATTACAGCCGGCTGAAATTTCAACTCCTCCGGCACCCGGCAATCCCCGGGGCTGGGGACGGAGCCAAGTGGCTGGTGGGGACTGACGGGAGATGGGGCACATGGCGGGCTGGAGGGATGTGGGGGATGGACAGGGAAGGGATGAATGGGGGGGACGGAGGGGAGGGATGGAAGGGGGAAATGGGATGGATGCAAAGGGGACCAAGGGGATGGATACAAGGGGGACAGAGGGGACAGATGCAGGGGGACAAGGGGGATGGATACAAGGGGGACCGAGGGGGACAAAGGGATGGATGCAAGGGGGGACAGAGAGGACGGATGCAAAGCAGATGGATGCAGGGGGGAGGGATGTAAGGGGGGCAGAGCACTCACCTGTCGACATGCTGCCGTGGTCCGGGCACAGGAGCACTTCAGGCTGCAAGGGAAGAAGAGCAGGATGAGCAACTCAGCACATCGGGGACACACGGGTCCCCAAGGCCGGGGTCTGAGGAGACCAGGGGTTTCCCTTCCCTGCCATGCTGGCACCCAGCTCTGTGGCCAGGCTGGGGATCAGGTCTTCTGCCGGGCTGATGGTGGGGTGGAAGACCCGATCCCCAGCTTTGCCCTAAAATAGGGAGCTCAGGACCTCTGCTTCCCACAGCCATCACCTACCTTGCTCCCGGCAGCCACCGCCACATCCGGCTGCGGTGAGGGCTTCCCCATGCCGGGTGACACACGGTGACGTTACCGGCTTCCTCCCCTGCCCTGACCACATCCCTGCACGCCCAGGGTGCTGCCTAGCAGCCAGAAACCAGCTTGGGTTGACCGGTGTCACCAGGACACCGAGTGATGGAGGCAGTGTCCCCCCAGGTCCCCATGGGCTGATTTTTTGAGGGGTGCCCTAAGGGGGGGGCTTACAGCACCCCATTGCACCCCCGTCACCGCGGGGGGTGGTTTGGCCACCCCGCCTGCCCACACCCCGCCCCGCAGCACCTGACCCGCTTGGCCGCAGCGCGTCACCCCAAACCGGCTGGACGGGGTGCTGGGATGGGGCATCCTGTGGGCAAACGAGCCGGCGGCTGCTGACGAGGTTGTGTTACAGCCGGCAAAGGGCAGAGGCTAAGTATGGCTGGGCTGAAACTGGCACCGGGTCACGTCCCACCTGCGCTGCAGGGCTGAAGCCCTGGGATGGCCTCTGCAGGGTCTGGGTGGGGTTGGGAGGGTGCAGGACCCCTGGGGTCCCCAATTGTGGGGGGTGCCAAGCCCCAGGACCACTGGCACCAGCCTCGGTGGGGCCACGGGGGGCTGGGGGCAGCCCTGGCCCTCGGTGTGGGCTCGGGGCCTGATCCAGCGCAGCGCTGGGCCCGTGGGTGCAGGGTGAGGGTGGTGTGGAGGTGCCTGGTCCTGAGGAGATGGGGAGGGGGTGCTGACTGGGGAGCCCAGGGGGTCGGGG